GGCCGGCAATCCCCGAGAGACCCCGAGAGCCATCGTCCGCAGAAATCTCACCGAGCCAAAGTTCTTCGAAGCAGCGGGCCAATTCTGCGCCAACATCGATCTCAAAGTCGCCTATCAGCTCGACAAGCTCATCCGCAACGGCCTCTACTCGCCCACCGCACTCAACATTTTGAAGCAAAACACACATCGGCTCATCAAGTCCTACGGCATCGACTTTGCCGCTCGCGTCTTTGAGAGTCTGGCGGCTACGTCGCGCCAGGAGCAGGTGCGCAACCGCAAAACAAAGTGCCTCCTCGGCTCCACCAAGCTCGAGGAGCGCATCGAGACCGAAGAGAAACGCCTCAAGCGCCAGGATGCTGCCCAAGCCGATCTGCTCGAAGAGCAGACCAACCCGACTGCCACGGCTCATGTATATCACGTCACCATCACTCCCACCCGCATGCTGCTCGACGGCCCATTCATGGACGCCTCCAATCGTGTGCTGCGCATGTTCCCAGACTTTGGCAGCCACTTTGTGCGCGTCGCCTTCTGCGACGAGGACGGCGACCGCTTCCCCGTCTCCCGTCACGATCTTGACGGCATTGACAGCGAGTCGTTTGTGCGCGAACGCATCGGCGATCCGCTCAAATACGGCATCGCCATCGCCGGCCGCAAGTTCGAGGCGCTCGCCTGGTCAGGCTCGGGCCTCGGCAGCCACCACTGCTGGTTCGTCACCGCCTTCACCGACAAGGTCGGCAAGCTCTGGGACGCCGAGCGCATCCGTCAGGCCCTCGGCAACTTCCGCAGCATCGACCGCTACCCCGCTCGTCTCGGCGCCCGACTCTCGCAGGCCTTCAGCGCTACCTCGTCCAGCATCACCATCGAAAACGACTGGGTCGATATCATCCCAGACGAGCTCAGCAACGCGCAGATGCCCAGCAACGGTCCAGAACGCGATCGCAAGTACTATTTGCTCACCGACGGTGTAGGCCAGATCTCTAAAAGCTTGCTCGACGAGATCTGGCACGCGCTCTGCGAGACGAGGGGCATGCGGCGCGAGTGGCGACTGTCGCAGCAGGACCCCAGACGCATCCCTTCTGCCATTCAGTTCCGATGCGGTGGTGCCAAGGGCGTGCTTTGCCTCAATCCTACTCTCAAGGGAAAGAAGATGATCATGCGCGAGAGTATGATCAAGTTCTCGGCGCCCAAGCATCGCGAGTTGGAGGTGGCGGCTCACTCCTTCTCGCCGCTTCCGGCTCGTCTCAACCGACCGCTCATCAACGCGCTCGAGGACTTGGGCGTCAAGGACGACGTCTTCCTGAACTTACAGGCGAGTGCAGTAGAAAGCGCGCAGGAGGCGCGCAAGTCGTTCAAGCGTGCATCGCAGCTCATGGGCTCGTTTGCAATGAGCGATGCTGCCGAAATGCACAAGCTCTTTCGGCGTCTCGACAGCGTGATCGGCATGCGGCCCGACGAGCTCGACTCGGACAGCATCCTGCACCGTCTGTGCACCATCGTGATTGCGGCCGCCTTGGGCGATCTCAAACGCAAGGCGAGAATTCCCGTACAGGGCTGCACGCTCATCGGCGTGGTGGACGAATTCAACTTTCTGGAGAGGGGCCAGATCTTTGCGCAGGTCAATGACCGCGACCAAGACGAGTTCCGGATCGTCGAGGGCAAAGTCATGGTCGGACGCAGCCCGACCATCCATCCGGGCGATGTTCGTGTCGTCAGTGCGGTCAAACCGCCGCCCGGACATCCCTTGCTCCAGCTTCGCAACGTGATCGTGTTCAGCAAGTCGCCATTCGGTCGGCCGCTACAGTCGATCCTGAGCGGTGGCGATTTGGATGGAGACATCTACACCATCTACGAGGACAAGGATCTCTTTCCCACACGCACCGAGTCGCCAGGACAGTACAAGTCCGTGCCGCCGCGCTCGCTGGCAAGGCCGTGCACTTTCGAAGATCTTGCCGACTTTTTCGTCGACTATGTGATCAACGACCAGGTCGGATTGGTGTCGACGTTCCATCTGCACATTGCGGATACGAGTCCGCTGCACTCGCTCGATCCCGACTGCATCAAACTCGCGCAGCTGCACGCCAAGGCGGTCGACTACCGCAAGACTGGTCAGGCGGTGCACCGGAGGGACGTGCCCATGCCGCCGTTCAACTCGCCGCGGCCCGACTTCCTCGCGCAGCGGCCGGCGGGTCCGGGGATCTACTCGAGTACACGGGCACTGGGCAAGCTGTTCCGTGCGATTCCGGAGCAGAGCACGGATACGCCGTACGGCAGTCAGCCGGCATGGAGTCGAGGCGAGACGAGTCAGAGCGCCCTGTCGCGCATCCTCAAGCAGCCGGGCAAGGCGGACGACATTGTGTTGATCCTGACGACGCTGGCGGAAAAGTTCCCGCAGATCAAGCCGAAGGGCCTGAGGCTGGTGCAGATGCAGGTGCAATTCCGACCGCTGCTGACGTCGTTTGTGTACCACCTGAGCCGGCTGGCGGCGTGGATCCCCGAGAGCCGCATCGAGGCCGAGTGGCTGAGCGAAGAAGAGATCCTGATCGGCACGCAGGTGATGGCGACCAAGGCCAAGCAGCTCAAGCGCCGACAGGAGCGGCTGACGGCGTCGACGGCCGAGCTATTCCCGATCCTGCGCTCGCAGCTGCAGCTGATCGCAGACGACGACAACGTGGCAACGTCCACGATCCGACCTGCCGGTGACGACTCGCTCGACGCGACGCGAGCGGGCGCAAAGGGCAAAGGTAAAGGAGGAGCTGCAGGCGACGGCGTGCCGCACTTCTCCGGCCATGTCGAGCTTCGCCAGGCGCCAGTAAGGACAAGGACGGTGGTTGTGGATGGCGAACGCGTGGTAGTGCACGAAAGAACGGACAGGCGAAACGAACCTTCGCCGTGGTCGGATGACGAGGAGGACTCCGAGCTCAATCAGCGCATGGTCGACATGAAGGTCAGCAATCCTCGCAAGAGCGGCGCGATTCGTGCGGCCCAAAACGGCACCTCGTCCAATCGGTTGCGTGGGGTCATCCAGGGTAGTAGCAGCGGCAATGGTGGTGCCAATGGCCAGATCAACGGGAAGGGCAAAGGCAAAGCAAAAGGCAATACCAACGGCAACCACACTGGCGGTAGAAACGGCAACACACGGCCCAAGGGCAAGAACCGCGCGCTGGCCACCACCGGGCCGGAGCTGTACAACAGATTCTACAACACGGACGAGGAAGAGTCGGACGAGATTTGGGACGACGAGATCGACGGCGTCCCGATCGCCGCACTGAAGGGCGACGACCGGGCGCGGCGCCATCGACGCAAGGAGCTGCAGCATCTGTATGCGGCGTGCTACCTGGGAGCCACGGAGCCGTCGGCACGCCACTATGGCGGCAACACCTTTGCGGTGATTGCGCTCTCGTGTCTGCTCGAGCGGCTGGAGGAGCATCAGGTGCACGGCCGACTCTTCTAGACTTGCAAATGGATGCATTGTCATTGTCATTGTTTTGAACGGCGGGATGACTTGTGTGAAGCGGTTTGAGAACGTTGATTGGCATGGTGAGGAGCCGGGACAGCAAAAGACCGGAGATGTCAGATCGGGTACTTCGGACACGGTCTTTGGCGCGAAAAAGTCAACGAGGTGGAGGCAAGTGAGATCTGTGCGGGGCGGGCGACAGAGAGTGTCAGAAGAAAGCTTCGCGCGAGGGAGCGGGGTGGAATGGAAAGTGGCAGAACGGCTGAGAAACGCGCTGCAGCGGCTCGCAGGCGAGAAGAACACCCTCGCCTGCGCAGGCTCAAATTAACCAGCCCTCAGTGCCCACCGGCCCTCATCTTACTTTCTCACCCCCATCATCGACCTACTCCCAACGGCGACACTGCACTCAAGATGGCTTCGGGATCGACTTCTGCGCCCACGGCGGGCAACCCGATCGTCTACCTCGACATCCAATTTGGTGATCAGCCAGCCCCCTCCCGCGCGGGTGCCAACCGGATCGTGCTGGAGCTCTACAAGCATCTAGTCCCCAAGACTGCCGCGAACTTCCAGCAGCTGTGCACCGGCTCTGCGGGCAAGTCAGCCTCGGGAGCTGAGCTCAAGTTCGCAGGCTCAACGTTCCACCGTGTCATCCCGAAGTTCATGATTCAGGGAGGCGATTTTACCCGCGGCGACGGTACGGGAGGCGAATCGATCTACGGCGAAAAGTTCGAGGACGAGGATCTGACGGGCAAACACGACCAGCCCTTCCTGCTAAGCATGGCTAATGCCGGACCCAACACCAACGGCAGCCAGTTTTTCATCACCACCGTGCCCACGCCGCATTTGGACGGAAAACACGTGGTGTTCGGCCGGGTGCTCAAGGGCAAGTCGGTGGTAAGGAGGATCGAAAACACCCCGACGCAGAGCGATCGTCCCGTGGAGGAGGTGAAAATCGCACACTGCGGTGAACTCGACCCGGAGTCGGCGGAGGTTAAGGAGGGAAGCTATGGTATTGCAAACGACGAGTCGGGGGATGCATTTGAGGAGTATCCGGAAGATCAGGGTGGAGAGTTGGAGGCGAGTGTGGAAAAGACGCTCGAGGTTGCTACGCAGCTCAAGACCATTGCCAACACTCGCTTTGCCGCGGGAGATCATGCCGTGGCACTGGAAAAGTACCTCAAGGCTCTGCGATACCTCCAGCTACACCCCGTCCTTCCGGACGACACCAAGGAGCCTACACGCGCCGCATGGTACACACTCAAGACCTCGGTACAGCTTAACGCCTCACTGGCTGCACTCAAGTCGGCACCCGCGCAGCCACGCGTGGCTATTGCGCAGGCGACTGCCGTGGTGCAATTCCTCACCTCGGCCCAGGCTACCTCGTGGGATGCCACGCCCGAAGCGGGCGCAAAGCGCAACGCCGACCTTGCCAAGGCGTTTTACAGGAGGGCACTCGCGTACGGCGCGAGCAAGGACGACGACCGTGCCGATGCCGATCTGAAGCGCGCGGCAGAACTCGCGCCCACCGACCCGGGCATCAAGAAGGAACAGGCCGCCCTGGCCAAGCGCCGCGAAGCCAAGGTCAAGGCCCAGCGTGCCGCCTACAGCAAGATGTTCGCCTAGTCCCTTTGCGTCTTCATGCGATCACAGAAATACACACAGAACAAAGTCGACACTGCGTCTGGGATTGAAGTGCTATAATGCTGTGTGGTGAGGTTCAGTGCTGAGCGTCGTTGTCGTCGTCCTGGACATCGTCGCCAGTGGGCGCGGGAGGGTTGCCGCCCCACACGGCGTCTAGGGCGGCACGCAGCGCTGCAAACGGCCGCGCACCGCGTGGCTGCTCGCCCTCCGCCGCCTCGGCTTCATCATCGACGTCGTCAGCGTCGCCGAATGCGCCGGGCATGTTGTTGCCCTGGGCAGCTTCGGCCATGTGCATGATCTGGGCCATGACGTCCTCGCGCGTCTCGTCGTCCATGTTCTCCATGGCTGCGTCCCAGCCCTGCACGCCCGCCATGCCCTGCAGCGCCCTCCTGAACGCCTGCATGATACCCGCTCCCGATTCCCCCCCTGCCTGCGCTGGCCCTCGCGACGTTGCAGTGTCGGCGAGTACAGGCGCAAAGTACTCGTCGTCATACCGCGTGACGTCCAGTCCATCCGCATCCGACAAGCCTGCGCGCGGAGGCACGGGGTCGAACGCGTCCATCTGTTCGGAGCTCCCCGTGATGCTGGGCGGGAGATACGCGATCAACTGCTGACGCACTGCGTCCGGAAGATCCGACACGAGCACGTGCCTGTAGATCCCCTGGCGCGTATTGTGGCTCGCCACCGCAGGCTGCGCCTTGCGCCTGCCCTCGTAATCGGCCACGAGCGTCTCGGCGAGCTCCATGGCGGTGCTGCGCAGCCACTCACCGTACCCGGGCTCCTTCCATAGACTCTCGGAGCGCAGCACGTAGATGTGCGTGAGCAGCGAGCCGAGCGTGTCGTCCGCACCGTATCGGGGGGCGAGCTGGAAGAGCGGGTGCGTGGCGATCTTGTCTGGCAGATCCACGCCCGCCTTGTTGCACAGCAGCGGCACTGCGCCGGGGAAGCGTGCGATGGCAAGACGCAGAGCCGCTCGCGAGCGCGCAGCCGCCGCCGCTTTGTCGGACTCTTCTCGTTCGAGCGCGCGGTACGCGAGCGCGCGCGCATATGCCAGGCCCACGCACCAGTCGAGCGTACCCGCATAGCCGTCGCCTTCGCCCGCGAGCTGCTTGTGCGTATCATCGATGACGGTGCGTGCGGGTACCGACAGCTCGTCGACATGCGCGACGCTCGTGGTGCCGCGCCGCGCACGCTGCTCATCGAGCGTCTGCACGAGCTCAAGCAGCCACCGGTGCTGGCGCGACTTGATGGCCAAGAAGTCGATCCACAGCAGCGCAGCATGGTGGTCCTCTCCATCCTGCCCCAGCCCCAGCAGCAGCTTGGCCCACTCGAGTGCGGTGCGCCACGTGCCCCTGCGCCCGAGAAATCCGATATTCCGGTGGAGCGCAAGGTAGAACGCGCGGTTCTCGATTTTATTGAAGCTCACCACGGGCGGGCCCGACGAGGTGCTGGAAAGGCACGAGGTGAAGTATGGGCTGGCGCAGCGCTCGAGCGCAAAGAGCGCGCGGTCGTTAAAGTCGGCCGCCTGGCCCAGGTCGCCCTGGTGGCGCGAGTACTCGGAGAGCTGGAGCAGCGTGTCGATGTGGTATGGATACACGCGCAGGAGCGCCATGAGCGCGTTGGGGTCGTACGAGCGCACCGCCTGGAGGAACTGCATCTGCACCTGGCGGTACGCACGCGAGTGCTTCCACACGCACACGCGGCCGTGCGTGGCCGAGTCGACGACGTCCATGCTCATGCCCGTGAAGCTGCGGCTGATGGGCGGCCAGTAGTCCTTGGGCGTGCACAGCAGGCTGCGCACCTTGAGGTTCGGATTGTTGGCCTGCGCGCGCGCTCGGGCTCCACTCGATGCGCGACCACCGCCTGCGGCGCCGCCGGCCTCGTTCTGATACGCCTTGATGGCGGCTAAGCCAAACTGACGACGAAGCTCGATTGCAGGATCGAGATGGCGTGGGTCCAGGCTGAGGTGAGTACGGAATGCCGACACACGGCCTGCTGTCGCACTCGCAGCCGCGCTTGAGGACGATGGATTGCGTGCAGCCTCGGCGCTGTTGAGGCTGGCTTGCGAGGCCAGCAGCGCATCGAATTCGTCGATCGACATGTCGGCGACGTCTTTGGACTTGGCTGCTGTCTTGCCTGTGGGTGTGCCTGATTGCTGGGCCGACGACTTTTTGGTCGGAGCTTTCTTGGCGCTCGACTTTGCGGGTGCCGACTTTGCCTCGGTATCCTGCGATTGGGCGGTGGCGGTATCTTCGGTCTCGGCTTGGACTGCGGCTGCAACTGCAGCTGCCTTCTTCTTTTTCTTCTTGTTCTTCTTCTTGCTGCTTTTTGCGGCGGTTTGCTGTGTCGAAATATCGTTGTCTGCGTCCGAGGCGTCGTCCTCGTCGTCCTGTTCAGCGTCGTCACCACCGTGGTCTCCGAGCGCAGCAAAGAGCGAGGTTGCGGTGGGCTTGCTTTTGGAAGCGGGTCGCGGTGTAGGGGCGATCTCTTCTTCCTCTTCCTCTTCGTCGCCGACGTCGTCATCGGAAGGCTCGTTGAGCTGCTGGAAGGGGGATCTGGTTGAGGCGGCGGCTGGCTTGGGGAGAGGCACGTCTGCGAGCTCGTCGAGCTCTTGCTGCTCGCGCAGCTGACGCTTGTTGAGCCGTTTGCCGCTCATGGCGTGGGTCGATGCAACTTGCAGTGTGGGTAGCAGGCGGGTTCGAGAGAGAGAGCGAGAGGCAGCAAAGAGGTGGAGGGTCGACTCAGCTTCGAGACAGGTTTTGGCCGACTCCCGATTTTTTCACGATTCGGGCGGCTTACCTGAGGCCAAAGAAAAGGCGGAAGCGCCGAAGAAGGAAGATCGGGTGGTCCGCAGAGAAGAACCACCGAAAGATGCTCCACTTGGTCACCAAACTCTGCCGTGGGAAAGCTGAGCAGCGCCAAGTGAAGCATCTGTCGGAATGACCACCGCAAGCTCGACGAGCAGCGAAAAAGCCATCTTGCATCCATCGGAGGACCCGCCCGAACGCTTTTGACTCGCATCACACCATCACATCTTGCCGCGTTCAGCAATGCTAGCACGAACCGCCGTGTCGACGCTACGCGCTTCGGTGCGTCCGACAGCGTCCGCTCGATTGTCATCCAGCCTTGGTTCGTCGTTCTTGCCAGGCGTTGGAGGAGCAGGTGGCAGCCAGATCTCGAGTCGCAGTGCTCTAGCCGTCCGCAACTACTCGTCGCAGCGCGAAGAGCAGGCCAAGGACAAGCTCGCTGTGGGACCGTTCAACCTCAAGGCGGGNCGAGTCGCAGTGCTCTAGCCGTCCGCAACTACTCGTCGCAGCGCGAAGAGCAGGCCAAGGACAAGCTCGCTGTGGGACCGTTCAACCTCAAGGCGGGCCTCCTCTTTCTGGTGACGGGAGCGGGGCTGCTCTACTACTTCCGCACCGAGAAGCAAAAGGTGGAGCAGCGACGCAAGGCGGAAACAGCCGCTGCCAAAGTCGGCCGTCCACGCATTGGCGGGCCCTTCTCGCTCGTCACGTCCACGTCGCATCCATTCACGCACGAAGACCTGCTCGGCAGCTTCTCGCTCGTCTACTTTGGCTTCACCAACTGTCCCGACATCTGCCCCGAAGAGCTCGACAAGATGGGCGAGGTCGTCGACCGCATCGACGCCGAGTACGGCAAGCAGATCATCAATCCCGTCTTTATCTCGTGCGATCCGGCGCGCGATACTGTGCCGCAACTCGCTCGGTACATTGACGACTTCCACCCGCGCATGGTCGGTCTTACCGGCACGTTTGAGGCTGTCAAGCAGGCGTGCAAGGCCTACCGCGTCTACTTCTCCACCCCGCCCGGCGCAGATCCCATGGGAGACTACCTCGTAGACCACAGCATCTTCTTCTACCTCATGGATCCAGAGGGCAAATTCGTCGATGCTTTTGGAAGGAGCGTCGACGCCAAAGAGACGGGCGACAAGGTAGACGCCTACGTGAAACAGTGGATCGACGCTGGTCTCCCCATCTCACAAGCTGACGCAAAGAAGAAGGTCCAGGACCGTCCAAAGGTCGAAATTTAGTGTCGCCTCCTCAGACCATGTATATTAATTGTCCCTACCACTTTTCACACCGCTTTCAATCCGGCACAAGGCTGGTCTGGGCTGGAGCTGCATTGCGTGAGAACAGGATGAGCAGGGTGAAAGTCTAGCGGCGTGGGGTGCGGCGAGTGCTGCGCGTGTCGGTGGATGCAGAGCTGCGCGTGGTGGCCCGGGCCGGCGTGCGTGCACTCGGCGTCGATGTCTGCTGCTTGTCGCTGCTGCCTCTTCGAGATATTGATCCGGCGGGCGTGACCGAGGACCGGCTGGAGCGCGTCTGCTTGGCGGGCGTCGAGGGCGTCGAGGGCGTCGACTCTTTCGGCTCCTTGGCCGCGCTTGAGCGCGATACCACCGAGGCGCGCGTCGAGCGTCCGCCCGAGGAAGCGGCAGTGCGTCGACCCCCGCGCTCGCCCGCCTTGGCCGACCCTTTTCCTCTTCGACGAGCAGCCGAGTCGCCATCACTCGCATCGTCGTCATCCTCCTCATCCGAACCCTCCTCGTCTTCCGACGCCTGGTTCGACGCAGCTTCCTTGTCGTCGTCCCCAGCATCCGAGTCGCCGTCGCCGTCATTTCGCTCGGATCCGGACTCGCGCCCGCCCTCGCTCGCCGCATCGCTCTGCTCCTCCTTGGCGTCCGTCATGTCTTCATCTTCGGCTTCGTCCGGAACACCCTCCGACTTGGACGCGCGCCGGCTGCTGCGTCGACGCACCGACGGACGTGCATCCACCTCCTCCTCATCGCTCGACGGCGCGCCGCGCTTCTTGCTGCCCTTGCGTGCCGAGGATGCCGCCTGCTGCGCCTTGCCCGATCGTCGACGCGCTGCACTCTCCGCCTCGCTCGGCGTCTCCTCCTCGTCCTCATCAGCCTTGCCATCCTCGCCGTCCTCGTTGGTGTCGCTCTCGGCCGCGTCGCTTGCCGCTTCGTCTTCCGACGCTTCCGTGCCGTCGTTGCCGGCGCGACGTCCGCGCCGCGTGGAGCGTGTGGGCGTCACTGTACCCGACGTGCTCTTGCGACCTGTTGCCGCTGTGCGAGGCGGACGTTGCAGAGGCGTAGGTGCTTTGCGGCTGCCGCGGCGCGTACGCACCTGCTCCGAAGACTCGTTCTCCTCGTCGGATTCTCCCTCCTCGTCTGCATCTGGCTCCGCCTTGGCAGCTGGCGTGCTCTCGTCCTCTTCGCTCTTCTCCGCCGTATCGCGCGACGCCTTCTTCTTGGGCTCGGGCGCGTCAGTGCGGCCGCGACGCCCCGAGCGACGCTTCGGCGTCGAGTCTTTCGAAACTTCGGCGTCCGAGTCGGGTTCCGAAAGGTCCTCGTCTTCCTCCGCACCCTCGCCTCCCTCCTCGGCCTCGTCCTCCTCCTGCTTGGCGCTAGCGTCTTGGGTATCGGCAGGGGAAGCGGATCGCTTGGGCGTCTTGGCGTATGCAGAAGCATCCGACGCAGCCGAGCCCTCGTCCTTGGCGGCTGCGGTTCCTTCCTCCTCCTCGTCCTTGGCGATGCGACGCTTTGCAATCAGCGGCTCATACTCTTCCCATGGCCACAGGTAAAAGTCGCGGCGTGCCATGCCGTCGCCGGTGCCGCGGATGTCGTCGCCATAGATCCAGTTCTGCGACTGCGCGTTGGGGCGCGACTTGCGTTCGCCATCCGCGTGGAAGTCGGGCGAGCCCGGATGCTGAAAGACACAACGCGAGAGCACGTCGGCCGAGAGTTGCCGCGCCTTGTTGGCGTTAGCGCCCGTGAGACTGCGCTTGCGCTTCGAGGCAGGCGGTGACGAGCTGGATGCGGAATCGCTGCTCGAATCGCCCGTGTCGGTGGCAGCTCCGGCCTGGCTGGAAGAGTCAAAGATGGCGCCTTCCTCCATGTCGTCAAGCGCCTCGAGATCAAACAGCTTGTGCAGCTCGTTCCACACCATCTCCGGCTTCACCGTGCGGTCGAGACCGAGCGCGGCGATGGCAAGACGCGTCTGTTCGGTCTCCTGCTGGCGCTCCCGTTCTTCCTCCTCGTTCTGCTCTGTGTCATCCTCGGTGCGCTCTCCATCGTCCTCGGCGGGACCTGAGCTGGCGACGCTGCCAGACCGCGAGCGCGAGCCTTTGCGCGAGTGGCCCAGGTTGCGGCGAATGCGAGGCGTCGCGCTCACGTTGCTGCCTGCGCTCGAGAGCGGCGGTCTGGACTTCTTGTCCGAAGCGTTACTGGGCGGTGCGGCGCTGCTGAGCTTTTCGAGGCGCGCAGCCAGACGCTGGTAGCGAAAGTCGAGCGCCTTTTGCGTGTCCATGACGACCGAAAGCATCTTGAAGTGCTTGTGCGGGCCCACGGGTCGACGAAGCGATACGGAGCGCAGGAATGCAATGTGCACGTCGTCGTCCTCGGGAAGCATGGCCGCCGACGTCGAGGCTCGGGATGTCTGAGCCGTCATGGTAATGCGGCTTGCAATTCACCCTCGGAGGATTGACCAAGCGTGCAGATGCCGAGCAGTGTGGTGGTGTTGTGTGGTGTTGGCTGGTGGAGAGATGAAAGGAGTGGGCAAGTCGAGTGAAGTGCGGAAGTGCGGATGGGCGGTGGGGCTGCAGCGGCGCCGTGCCACTTTCGCGTCGGGCTTCTTCCAATCGGAATCGGCAAATTTCACAAAGCACGCGTTCCCGATTTTCCCGATTCACAACTCCATTGTCTCACCCGAGCAGCCCACTCCGCACAAAAGGTGGCTGCCAATCAAGCATGCGGCTGGCCGGAGATACTGTCGATTGTATACATTGATCATCTCGTTGGCTAGGTTACAGCTTGGCGCGCTCGGTGAACTGGACCGCTTCTCCGCGGATGAGGCGACCGATGCCGTCGTGGTAGCCCTTGACGACGCCGTTTTCGTCGCGGGCGCCGCGCTCGCCCGAGTGGTTGAGAGGTTCGCGCTTCATCCACTCGATCATCCTCTCGTATGCGCGGCCGTCGCTGCTGCCGAGTGGCGAGCAGAGGTACCAGTCGTCCAGGTCGAAGCTCTCGACGAGTCCCAGTGCATCGCGACGGATGGGCCCGGACAAGAGCGTGGCGGACGTCCGTCGGAGCCTGTCGAGCTGCACGGGTGAGAGAAGCTGGAGCTCAAGGAAGTCGCTGAGCATGTCTGGGCTCAAGATGCAGTTCTGAATGAGGTGGAAGCGCAGCAGCGCATCGACCGCGGCAACGTGCGAGTCTTGAACTGCAACGCCGTATCGTTCTTTGGTGGAAGCGGCGGAGTCTGACTTGAGCTGCTGCACGAGCTGGGAGAAAGCGTATCCGATCAGGTAGGCTCCGTGGGCGGTCGAGGCACGCACGGCGAGGTTGGTGTCGATGTGCTTGGACACGCCATCGGCGCCCGCTGTGCTCGAGCGGTGCTGTGCGAGTCGCTCAACCAGAAGTGCAGCCCGGAAGCCGAGCAGCCCGAGCAAGCTTGCGGGTTGATCGATCTGGTCGACGCCGACAGCCTGCGAACGCTTCGAAACGGCATCTGCGGAGCCGGACGGAGACGCGACAAGCTCGAGGTAGGCGAGCTCGGGGTACTGTACCTTGCCGTTGCGCTTGCGCGACTCGTTGAGCTGCTTGACCAAAAAGTTGGCCGAGGGTCCTGCGAGGAGCATCGAGTTCTCGCCCTCGTAGATGAGGCCGGCGTTGGGCTGGTTGCGCTCAAAGTCGAAGCCGGCGGCCTGGCTGAAGCCGTGACCGCCCATGCTGCGACGGCACCGTTCGATGCCGGCGAGCGATTCGTTGGTGCAGACGGCCTTGAGCACGCTCGAGTAGCCGTGTACGATGGGGAGGAGCGCGCTGTTGCCCTCCGACTCGATCTCGGCGATCATGCGAGTGTACAGGCGCCGGAGGTGCTGGCTGACAAAGGTGATGGCGTAGGCGGAGGCGAGGGCAGTGAGCACGCGCGTCTGGACCGAGGCGTAGTCGAGGATCTTGGGCTCGAGCTGGTCTGGCTGTGTGCTCGAGGTGCCCTGTCGTCGAACGACGGCGTAGCGGATCGCAATCGTGGCGGCACGCGCCAGGTGGTGGGCTGCAATCTCGCAGAGGCCGACGCGAACGAGGGTCATGGTGCCGCGCGTCATGACTTGGGCGGCGGCATTGCGCTTCTCGTAGACGCCGTCTCTGGAGACGGTCTGGAAGCGCTGGAGGAGATGCGAGCGCGGGATGCGAACACTGTCGAAGCACGTGTATCCATTGTCCATCGCAGGCGCGCCAAGCTTACAGCCCATCTCGATGATGCGGCGACCGGGTAGGAGAGTGTGGTCCTCGAGCGAGCGGAGGTGAACCAGGAAGGGGTGCATGCCGTACGACTTTTCGCTGATGATGAGGTTGGCCATGACCACGCCGTACGTGGCGGTGAGACCGCTGCCTCCGATCCACACCTTTCCAGCGGACGGCTCTGGAGTGTTGATGATCCACTCGTCGCTGTTGTGGTCGAAGGTGGCGGTGGTCCTGAGTGCCGAGAGGTTGGAGCCGTGTGCGAGCTCGGTCTGCATGTAGCAACCGAGCCAGCGGCCGGATCTGACCATGGGACCCCATTCCGCCCACTGTTCGGTGCTTGCCTGTCGCATGAGAGTGGGCTGTGCCATGCTCTCTGCTACTTGGATGGGGAGGTACTCGTCGGTGAAGAGACGGAGCATGTCGGCGTCCTTCTTTTCGAGGCCGTGGCGGTTGCGGATCTCAAAGTAGCGGAGGGAGACCTGCTGACCCTTGAGGAAGCGTTCATTGCGAGATTGGAAGACGCGATCCTCCTTGTCAAAGGTGTGGTCCGGATCGTCCTTGAGAAGCGAGAGAAGCCAGCGTGCATTGTCACGCTCGGTGCGTGAGCCGGGGAGGATGCACGACATGGCGTCGACGTCGAACGAGCATGCTGCGCGTTCCTGCTGGATGTCGCGCGGTTGCAAGGTCTCGGGTGCGGGTCTTTTGGAAGCCATCTTGATGTTGCGAGCAGGAGAGGGCGGATGAGGAGACGAGGATGGCGGTGGTGGTGAGGATGGGGGCGGCGCTCTGGAAGTGTGGCTATAACCCTCCCTCCAGCAAGTGCGGGGAACACTATAGCCGCCGCACTGCGAAAATAAGCATGCGGGGTCAACGCGCTCAGAGAATCGCCGACACCGGAAAGCTCAGTTGCCGAGGGCCGAAAACCGCCGACCGCTTTTTTGTGCCCCAATTTTCGAAATGCTTTTTTCCCCTTTTTATTCCGATTTTTTTCTTTCTTTTTCCTTTTTCTGTTACTCTTTGGCCGATGCGGATAACAAACGTCAAGTTGGGCGAGGTGGTGCTGCGGCTGCTGCTGCTGCTGCTGC